GGCTGCATAGTTTATCTGTACTTATTTAAAGGTACAGCATCTATCCTACATATTTTATAATCTACATCTTTTCCAATCTTGAGTTATCTGTTTCAGCATGATAGAAACTGTAAAGTTTGGGTATGAATTTCTAAATAGGAATGTATGAAAAGAACTGCCTAAGGACGCTTGTGGCTGCCTCTTCTGAACAGCACTATGGGATTTAAAAAAAAGAAAACAAAACACAACCCACTTTTACTTGTAAATCATGAGGCAGGAGAAGTAAGAGTAGGGGTTTTTTTGTTGGTAGCAAAAATATTATCTAAACCATAGTATTTCTAAGAAGGCTAACGTATCCTTTGTAAAAAGGCTGTGCATTTGTATTTAAATATTATCTAGGGTTTACTCTATCTGTTCTATGAGATTTGATAGCACAAGTTGAATGGCTTAAAGGTTAGTATTGAAAGGGACTACAGGACGTGGGTGTGTGCGAAGAAATTCTGCACTGCTTTGTAAGGCTGAATATGCAGATGGGTAGAGGAGTATTGTTTTGGCTGAAGTCCAACACCAGAAGAACATGCAACTTTATTTTTTCCTGTGCTTAAGTATTTATAGGGAGTTGTTAGTTGAACCAGAATGACTTTATTACAAAGTGTTGAGTCTACGTAGAGAGGTTCTTACCATTGTTTCTTAGTGAAAGGAAGGGAAGTTCTTCTATACTATTTCTCCCAGGCAACCTGAAGATAGTACTAATGATCATGTTATAAGTCACATATTAAGTGTCATCCAATGTATTCTATGTATTTCTGAATATATTTAAGGTCATTTGGAAGGGGAAAAGGAAATGGAAAACAGTAAGGTTTGAGATGGAGACTTCATACTTAATTTTACTTTGGATGCGAACTTTTACATCTTAGAAGAGAATAACTCTATCGGTGTAAGTTTTTTAAAACAGCGTATAACCTGTACAATTTTATATATTGATAGCTAGGAAAAAATAATTGTAAAGCTAACAATATTCTGAAGTGCTTTTGGAGTTCAGTGCTTCAGCTACCCAAACATTTGCTGAAATGGTTTTGAAGAGAATGGTACTAATCTGTCTCTGGCATGTCTAATTTTTACATATAGAACTTGCCAAAGGCTTCTAGATGTGGTGGGCAACCAAAAGATTAAGAGGAAGGTGGTTTCTTCCTCATACTGCTAGTAAATCAAGAACTGCATAGAGGAAGTTGTGCCTGACTTCAACAGAATACGGAAGGTTTTCTTTTGAGGCATGCTAAGAGCAATGGTATTTGAGGAGTTAGGGGTGAGGGTAATCAGCCTGTTCTAACCTACTCCTGATAATTATGTGCTGAAGTTGTTTTTTCCCCTCTGTTCTTTTTCTCCTATTGTTTCTAAATGAAAAAGGTAGCTTCTGCTGGAGGTATAAAAATGAATCATCTAATGATTTCTGCCAGTTAAATACGCCTCCAGAACACACATCTCAGTCTTTCCCAGTGATACTCTAATTTTCAATGGTCACCCAGTTCGCCAGTCTGAATGCTTGAAAATTGAATCTGAGAAATGAGAGGCAGTTCAAGCTAAAATTGCTTCACATCTTATTTTTAAGAAGGCTCTTCAAGTGTATTATGGGAAGATAGAATTTTAATTGACTAAACATTCAGATGGAAGCATATGCGTTTTGCAAGGTAATTTATAGCCGTGTATTTGGTTATTGTTACAGCAACTCCATAATGCCTAGTTTCTTTTCAGGAACTCATGCTAAAATGACTGATAATAATTAAGAGCATAGTAATTGATATAGGAATACATCCTTGTAAATGAGTGTTGCATCCTTATGGAAGGCTTCACTTTATTTTACAATATACTTTTTTATATTATGTTCTGATTTGCAACCAAAAAGCAGAAAATAAAAATACTGTATTTAGTAAAATACTACAGTTAGTGCTTAAATGTGTAAACAAAGTTAGCTGGGCAACTGCTGAACAATCTGTTAGTTGCCCTTCAGTATAGAGTACTGGAAAAGCACTCAGCCAAAATAATATTAGGAATGGTTGTATCAATCTCTGAGATTTTAAGAAAAGTTGGGGGAAAATAAATCCAGTTGCGTGAAGCCAAGCAAGGACTTGTTTCCTTCAAAAGTAAATAGCTGACTTTCAGAACTAAATGACACATTTTTAGTGCTTTATATTACAGACATCTTTTTAACACAGCCAAGAAAAACAGTGTTACTGTGGTTAAAACATTTGGCTGGTGTCTGGAAATCTGGATTCACATTGTGGTTTATGCCACAAATTCTAGGGCTTAAGGCAAATATATAAAAGCAGGTTTTTTTGCTAAAGAAGTCAGTCTTTTAAAATAGTTTTCAAACATTGTTTTGACTATAAACATGTTACCTTTATAAACTAAGTTATTAAAATTGTGTCTGGTGTTTTTAAGGAGCAAAAATCACAACTTTGAACTTGTGAATATTGGAGTTTTTAAATCTGTTTTGATCTTGGCTGTATTTTTTGCCAGTCTATCAAGACTTGATTTAAAGTTTGTTGTGGCTAAACAGATAGGGACCCCTGACATATTCCTTAGGCAGGCAAAATCTAAAGACAAATTTAAAGAAGACTTGTGCCTGAAACTAGAGAAGTAAGTTTTCTTACACTCTCCATTACTTATTATTAGACAAACATCTGTTAGACTTTTGTAGTCCAAAACTATTTAGAGTATACTTATATTTTGTTGCAAAATCAGGATGTATTCAGCTCTTCAAATTGCTGTTTTCTCTCAATTTCCTGGAAAGTACAAGAGGACTTCTTACCCGAGGAAAGCACACTGTGTTTGTTCTAGTCCATATGTATCATAAGCAGAATCTGAAACAAGAAGCGTAGAGTCCATTTAAGTTGCTGTGCGTATCATCTGATGAACATGTACAAACAGCCAGGGAATAAGGAAGAGCTGTGGCCTGTTCTCTGTGTCTGCATGTTGTTACATAGGTATGCTACTCATGCTCCTATATCGTGTGAAGCAATTGTAGAAATGCATCAGCATTGTCCACCCATCCTCTCCTTACACTCAAATCAGGGCTACCTCCACTGATTGCTGAGGCAAAGACACTATGTGGGTTGAAAGTAGTATGAAGTAAATTAGTATTGTATAAGGGAAAATTAATATTAAATATACTATGATCTTTGTACATTAAGTGTTCCGTGTGTGTTCAACTGCACAGTTAAGTAGGACGAGCACTTAAATGGATAGTCTCAGTGACACTAAAGACTGTCTGCATGAGCTATATTTGCCTTTTAATGCTTTGTATATATCCCTTCTGTTATAGCTCCCTGTAGACATACATATATATATATAAAAGAAATACAATAAATTTTAACACTAAGGTTAATGTAGATTTTGAATTTGGCTTGTACTGTAAGTCATGATGAAAGGCTTAGCTGGCATGCAGAAGTATAAAAATAAATAAAAAAACACTTCCTTGACCATGTAGTTACATGTTGTAAATCCTTGTTTTGACCTGTTTGCCTTTGGTTTGTGCATTAAAGGTCAGGGAATGCCATACCCTAACAGAAGTCTATGGAACTGAAGACTTTTCTGTTAATCTTGTCAACTGTTTTTAGATGTAGAAAACTAAATTGTTTGATGCAAACATAAAATAAAGTAAGAAAGAGCTGTATCTTTAGTATAATGAATACTCTATGGGTTTTAAAGTTGCATTGTTAATTGAATAGAACTTCTATAGTATTTACTCTTCACAATGTAGTTAATGGCACCAAAGATGTATTAAATGATTTCCCTTTAAACTTAATTTTCAGGGTAGCTGTGCATACACAGTAACTAGGCAACTACGCTTTGGCAATTTCAACACCCGTTTTTTTTTCCCTAAACCAGAAACTTAAATGCTGATTTAGGATGGCATCGCCTGTCAAGCAAGTCTGACAATCTGTGGTGAATCTCACGTCATTTTAAAATGACCCAAGAAAGAAATAAAATGTATTTTGTAACTATTGAGCGGAGGAGAAAGTTAAGTGGGGCTTTTGAATACAAATGCTTAGTATGTATGACTTCAGTTGGATATATCTGTTGAAAGATGCAGTTTCATGAAACTGTGCTTTAGCAAGTGAAAGGATAGATCTCACTTATAATTCCGGCTACACAACAGTCAAAAAATAAGTTAATGTTGAATTAACTTACTTGAGGAGAACTGTATTTTTTTTTTTTCCCTTCCTCCTGACATTTGGAAAGGGTGACCTTAAGTTCTGAACTACTGTTTTATTACTGAGGGAATGTGTTTGGGTGTGCAGAGCTGGTTGGGGATAGTCTGGGAGTAAGTCCTGTATGGAAAGAATCAAATTTCTTTGTAGTGCGGGCCTGTGCTGTCTGTCTAGAACGGGCTATACTGCTACTTGTGCCTGGATTTTTCTCATAGATCCACAGGGCTTGCCCTAGAAGAGAATCTCAGAAGGAATATGTATAGTGTGAGCAAACGAGAGCCAAGGGTTGGAGTGTAAGAAAGGGGCAAACCAAAGTGATTGCGCATTGAAACATACACGGCTTTATTTTAAATCCAAGATTATGGAAGGCTTCTGTTGAATCAGAATTTAAGTGAGTAGGGATCAAGAGACATACTGTATTAACCCTGTAATTAGCTAGTCTTTCCTAAGCATCTTTTTCTGCACATCACAAAATAATCACAGATCCTTTGAGAATTTTTTAGTTTGGGTAACAATGAGAGAAAAGTGTGGGTTGTTGCTCATCAGTACGAATAGGGGTCTCAGTTTGGTCTTGCACATTTGGCTGTGTGGAGGTGCAGTTGTTTGAGAGGCATAGCGTTAGGGTTCTTATTGTTAGCAGTCTGGAGGGACATGTTAGTAGACTTGTATAAGGTAAGCACTTCTGTTGGTCTTAAGCTAGTATTCCTAATGTTAAGCATTTGAATGTACTTCTCACTCCAAATCTGGCATATAAAACCCCTTTCAAACCATCTGTGCTTCATACTAAACATATTTCTGCAAACTTTGTAGCATAAATGCAGTTCACGATACAGTGAAGACTTTGTGCTACAGCTGGAAAAAGAGCTGGTCCAAGCCAGGCTGAGTGAAGCAGAATCCCATTGTGCCCTGAAGGAGATGCAAGATAAAGTTCTAGAGATGGAAAAGGTAAATCAAACCAGGACCTTCTGTATAAAATAGCACTAGAAACAGAATACAGGTCCCTGTAATTCTTTGCGTAACTCTGCTCTAGAATCTTCTCTTCTACGTTTTCCTGATTGCAAGATGCTTTTCGAACCTGAAGTTAATATAGCAAAAAAACCTAACATCTGTTTGCACTGGGAAAGGTTTGTGAAGAACAGATCACTTTTCTCCTGTTCCTGAAGCCCACTGCAGTGGAAAACTTGGATTCTGGTGGTCTTTACACTAAACATGAATTGTTTCAAAATTATATCCTGCAACAAGGGCAGTAGGCTTAGGGTGAGCATTGAGGTGATCCAAAACTAAATAGTTTGGGAGGGGAGGAGGAAAGAGTTCAACATTCCCATTCCTAGGTCTTCAGTGTGTCCCACTTTGTCCCATTATGGGCAGGGAAAGAATACCTCCACTGTTTAGTATCAGTGTCTCTACTGCTTTTTGGGTGCCCTCCCAGCTTGTAACTTACTGATACCAGAGTTCAAGCTGTACTCAAACCAACTGTCAAACATGTACCTTTCTTTGAAGAAAAACCTAACTGCAAAATAAAATAGAAAAAAAAGGAAAGAAAAAAACCCCACTAGTGGACCTAAAATAAAGCACGCTCTTCAGATCCTGTTGTATTGGCGCTGGAAATTGTTTCCTCATGGAAACTTTAAAGAGCTGTATACTCAGGAGTGTGGGCAGAACTTACTAGCTAATTAGATTAACCCACTGGCGTTGAGATTTTACTTTTTTTAATTATCTGAGGGGCTTGATAGGAGTCTGACAGGCTAGTAGTGTGGTAGTTCTTACTATACTGAACACTGGTAAGAATTCAGGATCGAAGGTATTTTTCAAAGTTCAAAGACAGACTACTTATTTACTTAACCTTCATCAGCATGAAGATGGCATGCACTGAAAACTTAAATGTGAAGGAAAACTGGAGCAGTGGGGGAAATTCCAGTGTACCAGACAAACTCAGATGTAAAGCAGTATTTCAGTCTGTCGATAATGAACTTAGGCACGTGAGAAGGTGACTGAAGTTAACTCCGTCAAATGCCTACAAATACAGCTCTTCACTGCTGTTAGTGATGTGTCACGACACATCTGGGAAAACTGCTCGGTAAGCCAAGACTTGCATGGCTATACTGACAGTGATGTAAACATTCAGAAACACACTCTATCGCTTCCTATGTTTGCCAATACTTGGAGCCCATAATTTGAAACGCAGAGATGCTGATAAATGGCTGTTGTGCTGTGTTCTGTTAATCATGTACTTACTCTCAACTCTCAAGAAAACCTGGCAACTGTCACAGTACTACATATCTACAAAAATACTTGATTTTGCTGAAAATTACTCCCAAGAAATACAGTAGAAAGTGATGAAGCACAGTTCAACTTTGAGTATTCGGTGTCTGATGATTTGATGTAGGGATATTGTAGTTAGGCAGACTATGTCCTTTTTCTTCCCCTCTGTTTCTTTCCCAGACTTCTATTATTATATTTTCATCACTGTTTTACTTTCCTCAGATCACTCCTGCCATGTGTTTTCCTGGTTTCTGTTTAGCTTTCTCTAGACTTTCTACTTTTTCCTCAGTGTTTTTGTAAACATCCATGCACTTTCATCTCTAAGACTTTTTCTTGACTGGTTGTTGTTTATAAATATTAACTGACGGTTCCTTTGTCAACATATCTTTTCGCCTTTTTAAAGGCAGATGACCTACTTCACAAAGCAAATTTCCATTTATTATTTTTCCTGTAAGTCTAAATAAAAGTTATAACTCTAAAGGTATAATTTCAGTTCCTCATTTGCTTTACTTTTATCAACTAGCTCAAAATCTTTGATTTATCTCCGTATTTTTGATGATGTGTGAAAAATAGTGTAAATAATGGTTTGTTAGGGATACCATCCGGGGAAATGTGGAAGTCAGAATACCTAAAATTACCTTGTCAATTTTTTCTGTAGTTGGCCGTTGGAAGACATTTATTCACACTCGCTATATGCAAGAACTTAGATTTTTTTGAGGGATTTTATTTCGCAGGGGATGTGTAATTAAGAAACTTTGGTTAGTAATAAGAGTTATCGTTCCATGTCTATATTCTTGGAGTGGGTCTCGCTAAGCACAATTTTATTCAAATGCATATTTAAGAGTATGGTCCTTGTTGCAGAGGAACAGCTCTCTCCCTGATGAGGAAAATGTTGCTAGACTACAAGAAGAACTGATTGCAGTAAAATTAAGAGAAGCAGAAGCTCTGATGGGTCTCAAAGAACTAAGGCAGCAAGTGAAAGATTTGGAGGAACACTGGCAGGTATGGGTAGCAACATGCTTTTAACAATTTTTATTTTCAATGAATGATGATAAAGCAAAAGACTATGAAATTTTGAGATGTAGAACCTAGTGATTGTGGATCAAGCCGCTGAGGTGAGAAAGTCTTTAAATGCAGCTGCCACAAGAAACTTTACTTCAAAAGTATGGTAGAAATTGGTTCCTAGTTGTTACAGGTGGCAGAGAGCCTGTGCTACCAGCTAACCATTCTGGTAGGAAGGAAGTACCTGATCATACTCCTACTTCACTGAACGTTAATAAGGGCTAGAAATAGTCAAAAGTCTCAGGATATACTTGCAATTCCACTGACTTACTGTAGTTTGAAATGACTGCCTTCAGCTTTTTAATCGTCTGTTCTTAAAACTAGGAAGCTTGCATGGGTTTCTAGTTTTCAGGACAAACAGGAGCACTATAGCAGCAACTTGTCCCCGTATAACTGAGATCTTAAATGAATAAGGGAACACCAGGAAAGATGAGGCATTACCAGCAATGGCATGCTATTTTTTTAGCGTCATCTAGCTCGTACCACTGGAAGATGGAAAGATCCTCCCAGAAAAAACACAGTGCATGAGCTACAGGATGAGCTGATGACAGTCCGATTGAGAGAAGCAGAAACTCAGGCTGAACTGAAAGAGACCAAACAAAGAATGATGGAGATGGAAACACAGGTATGTTATTGAACATGTGTGAATTGAGCTGAATGCTGGCAAGTTGGTGTCAAATAGTAGATTTCTGGTGATGATCTTTTACCATCTACAGGCATGACTTTAGTTCCAAAATGCACTATTTGTAATGCTGTTAGACTAGGAGGGAGAATCTAGTGCATACCGTCGAACTTAAATGTCTCTTCTTTAGTCTTTTCTAGGGCTAAGCTTTCTGCATTTCTCATTTGGACTACTTGGTAAACTCTGTGAATGTGTGTGCATCTTAATTCATTAAATTGTAACTGGAGTAACAACAAAAGTAATTTAAGGTGTTTTAAATTTCACAAACATAATTGATGATTCTGATAATAGTAATTCTAATTCTTTAAATGGCAGTGTTTTCTTTCTTCTGGTGAAATTGCCTATACTAGATTATCCACTGAGGTCGTGAATCTGGTTACTAAACTGTGGACTCTCAGCAAAACAGCTGCATGTTGTCAAGTTTTTTTAGCACAAGATTTACCTTTCATGTCCCAGAAAAGAAAAGCATGATTCACCATTGCTGAGATTTGTGCATAAAAGACAAAAATAACTTGTCTGCGAAGATCTTTTTTTGTGTAACTAGGGAATAAGTGGTTATTAAACAAACAAATCTGAAATGAAAGTGCACTAAAGTTGGTGAGTTCGTATTATATTAGTGAAGTCTCAACGGAATCAATAAGCACAATGTGCTTTTGATTGAGAAGGATTTGTAACAGGCTTTGGAGAAGTCTTCCCATGAAATAGCTGCCAAATGGAAGTGTTACTCAAAGGAGACTTGTGCATCCAAAAGGCTAAAGAAACGAACAAACAAAAAAACCCTTTACTTGACAAGCTTCAGCAATCCCAGAAACCGGGAGAGCACATAAGAATGTGCTACTGAAGAGAGATGAGCTAACTGCAAAGCACATGGTGGCTTTTTTCTGACAGAAGCACCACTTTTGCTATACCAAATGAACAGAAGTTCCTTCTTGTCTTAACCTTCAAAATTTTCGTTGATGTGTTAACACTGTTTCACTACAGTTAACGTGTGCTTTTGTTTTGTTGTCTTTTTCCCCCATCTGTGTATTTATTTTAGTCAGTAGGGGGCATAGGTATCCTGCTGTCTGGATTACACGTATTAAAGTCACAAGACCTTTAGGTACTTCTCAGTTCAGTGTTATGCATCGAGTCTTTGTATACACTTATGCTGTTTAGCTATCATTTGACAGAAATACAGTGGTTCTCGTGTTGTGTACTGGTCTATGCACAGTTTTATATAAAAATGGTGTGACTTGTACTCATGTACTGATCTTAATTAAGGTGCCATGTTACTTCCAAGAATTCACTGGACAGAGAAATGGGCACACAGTATTTCTGACATATCTGATGTTTCTTGGATTCATCAGCTTGTTGCTGTAGTTGGGCTAAGAATTCACAAAATCTTTGACTTACCTAAGCAAGAGATTGGGAAAAACAGATGTACAGGAGCTTTGGAATAATGTTCTTACAATGAGTCATCTGTTGTTTAAGAACAATTCCAATATCCTAAATGCCATGCAAACTTTTCTGATTACACATAGAAAATTCTGAATGCTTTTTCATCAAAAGTTTTTTATAGTAAATGATCTATAAGTCTTTCTTGTCAGACTTCAGGGAGTTAAATTAATATCAAAGATCTTTCCTTAACACACATTTTCTTTCCTTTTTTTGTCATAAATTTCAGAATCAGATCAATAGTAACCATTTAAGAAGGGCAGAGCAAGAGGTTACCAACCTACAGGGGAAGGTACAGTATCTTTCTGCACAGAACAAAGGACTTCTTGCTCAGTTGAATGAAGCAAAACGTAGACAAGCAGAGATTGAATGCAAGGTAAACAACATTGTGAACAGACTATTTGTGTGCTAATGTATATGTACTTTCTAGTCTTGTCTGCTATTGTTGGATAGAGTTGTGTCTTAATTGAGAAGTAGAAATCACAAAACCAAAACTTTCTTTTACTGATTTGACAGTATCATCTTGAATTTACCATCTCACAATCACTTGAGGTTTTGACAGAGCTGTTTCTTTGTGGTCCCACAAAGATAAACTTTTACTTTAAAGTGTGGTTCTACTTGGAAAAGTGTCTGTGTATAATATATAAAAAGACACCCTTACACCACAGATTCTGATCACTGTGTACTCCGATCGTCTCTAGTGAGGGAAGAGGTTCACTACTTCAGCACTGGCTATTACTGCAAAATTAGCTTAGGTTCAAAAAAGGGGAGCAAACGTAGTATTTGAATGAAGAGGTGTACAAACGGGAGTGTTACAGTAGTCATTGCCTAATAGTAACTAGACTTTAAGGGGACAGCACAAAAACACTGGGCAAGAGAGTAGTTTTTATTGCTGGCAATGCACAAAAGAGAGCCCAATCTAATGTTTGAATCTCAGATTTAATTAGTCAATTTTGTAAGTAAATCCATAACCAATTACTAATAACTTATGTCTTCATAACTTGTGCACACATAATATGGACAAGAAATAAAGGATAAGTCTTTCAAGCTTTTTTCTCTTAAATTGGATGAAAATTTTCCTGAAATTGCTACTGATATTTACTTCAAAAAAGGGTAATATTAGTTGACAAAGCACTATAGTTAAGACATTATTTGCTAGAGACATGAAACCAACTTTTTACTTAAATGTAATTTCCAAAAGATGTACGAATAGTCTTTTATAAAATCAGCTAGAGCTGAATAGTCAGTAATTTCTAAATAGGATACTTATTAGGATGTTAAAAATAGTACTGAGATGAATAATCAGACTACTATTTTTTAAACTGTGGCTGTGAATTTGCCACTTGAGAGCAGGTGCTGTTGTATAATTTGTTTTTCATGATCACAACTTTTGCCTTTAATGTAACCAAACCTTTACGTGCACTACTTGTTTCTATTCTCATTCATGCAGAACACTGTTGTTGGTTGAGTGTTTGTTTTTCAGTTTTATCCAATATACATGCATTTTGCTTGTAACACCATACGTACCCCAAAGACTGCATGAGCTGCAATTCCAGCAAAGGCTTCTGTGGACAATATGAATCAAAAGTGTAGTTTGAGTGGTTTATTGGTGTCACTTAGCCTGGAGATGAAATGACATCCTTGTTAATGTGCACAGTTTTGCTATAATGTCACACTTCTCAGTTTTTACACATTTTCATTTCTTACAAATTCTTTTCTCCAAGGTAATGAATAAATCTAGACAATTTAGTTGTGTAGTAAACTCTAGTCTTGTGTTCATTACTCAAAGCCATAGTGTGTAATTTGTAATTGGCAATTTCCTGCTAGTTTTGCATTAGTTATAGTTCTTTCAGCAAAATTAAGCTGACTTTTGTTGTTTTTCAGTGCCATTTTAAAGAAATTTAAGAACAGTAAATAACTGAGATGTACTCCAGGTATTTCAGGTTTTTTTAGGTTCTCATTTTTCTTGCTGTCTTGCCAGTTCCATTTGTTACCAATGGAACCAGAATCTAAAGTGCGGTGAAGACGTAACTTCTGCTGACACATCAAACTCCATCACAAGCTTTTAGGAAACAAGCCAGTCAATCTTAACTAGAAGTAATTGTTTCTACTGACTGGTTTTTGTTTACCATAATCACTGGTTTCCTAAGTGCTATTTTTTTTACATGCTGAGATTATTCTTGTTGATCTCTTCCCCCCGCCCCCCCAATATTCATGATCTTGGTGCTATGTCTCTTCATATAACCCATAACTTTTTTGTTTAATTGGTTTTTAATACTGAAGGTCCACATTAATCCTTAAGAGATTGAGAGGGTGTAGTCAATATTCTGAAGTTTTTATGTTGTCTATAAAAAGAGTAATATGTCTTTAACCTGACTAATGAGTAATGTACATGACTATTCTCACTGGGATAATTTGCTTGGAAAGTTATGTTCTAACACAGGATAGAGAAAAATGTGATAGTAATAGACAGAGCACCAGTCATATTTTTTAGAGATTCTCTGAAAGTAGCAGTCGTCAATAGCCAGTGAAGTAGTGGTACTGACATACAGCAACATTACATCCTGAAACTTGTTTTGCACTCACTGATAGGAATAAGATTACAGTTTACATTGTAACGTGTTTTCCAAGTTGACATTTATGATATAAAATGAAATATTACCAATCTGATGCATATACGTTACGTGGAGTTCTACTGTTTAACTGTGAGCTAGACTGTGACTTCTTGGGATGAGGCTTAGTATAATACCATATAGACTCCTGTACTGTTTAAATACACAATGTTTTTTTTGGTAACTATTGAAAGATGCTCACATTTAACTTGTTGGAAACTACCTTGCTTCAGTGTAGTTTTGCCTTGTATTCCCTTTCCCCTCTACCTCTGATATTTGTCATGAACTTCCATTGTGACTTTATTCTCTAATAATCTATACAAACAATTCAGCAGTGTTTTACAGATATAAGAAGAATGCCACGTCATCAAAAAAATTAAGCCATGTTAAACAATATATACAAGTTCAAGTGTTCTCCTGCTCCTTAAATGGGACATAACTTGGTATTGAACTTCCTATTGCTGTTTCAAACTCATGAAAAACTTTTCAATTGCAAACTAACTATATGATAATATACAGTTAAATGAAAAATGAGAGGATATAAAAAGCCGTTGTCCTTTGACTGTTGATTTGTAAGGATTGTCATTCTGTTTGCTCTCCTTTGTTCTCCACGTTCAAACTACTGGAAGCGTGATTTTTAGCTTAATCCAAGATTCATGCCAAATGCTTCCACTTTTTCTTGTTATAGAAGAGACTACTTTAAGTTCCCATCTCCCCACCTCTGTACCCCAATAAATGAAGGCAATTCCTGTGTGGGATTGTTTAAGGTTATTTCACTGTGTGAGGAAAATGAGATTTTAATTTTGAAGTGAATTTAAACAAAAAAATAAAAGCTGAAGTTTAAAGTAGAAAGAGAAATATTGTTATGCTTGTCAAGCCAAAACCTTGCAACGCTAGTGGCTTTGTTTATACTAACTAGGTTTACAAAAAACTAGCATACCCTATGACTACTATGTAAGGCATATGTTCCAAGCGTGCAGCAATAACAGCGGACTTGCCATGCCTACGGTCCTTCTAGAAGTAGGTTCAGTATCTGCAACGTTACTAAATAGTGTTGCTACCAACTGAGATTTGGCTTGCAATACAGATAGTAGCAGGTAGGTTGAATTGAAAAGACAGTACTGCAGTGTAAATACCTGAAATAAAGCTATTTTAATATGCTACTGATACAACAACTTTGTATTCAAAACTGATGAAGAAAGTTTCAATAATCTTTCAGGCAGTGTCACGGAGCAACACAGACAAATACTAAATTTTTGTAGCACTAAATATTTTTAAAAGGTCTACCTTGCATCTCCTTAAATCTAGCAAGTTTGTTGTTCACGATTCCATTAGAAACTGATGTTTGATATTTTTTTTTTTCTTCTTCCAATTGCTTCAAGTCATCTGAAATCATGCTCTAGTTTTATTTCTGTCTCTACAATTTGGCTAGGTAGCTGTATTTCTGTCGGAAGTGGTGTATCAAAAAGAGACACGTTTGTATTTTCAACTCCCCAATTGTTTTTTTTCTATGGAGAACGAACTGGTACGTTATTTCTGGAGCCTGTATTTTTCTTTAAAGGATAGCTTAAAATATATAAGCAGAAATTAAAATTTTTGTAGCAAGTTGCATCTCATACCACCTATACAGCAACTGTTTTCTGTCACTGGTGTGTGCTATGTTTTCCCCTCTTTATCTGACTACTGCATTTACAGCAAGGACTTAATTTCAAATTGTTTCTTGAAACACAACACTGATCTTTCTAATCAGTTTTGCTAAAGAAATTACAACATAATATTGGTGACCCTGCCCTAGTCTTGTCTTTCCTACCATATCAACTTTTGTGGTAGTTATTAAGAACATGTTCTGTTTCGGAGATAAAGCATCAGTGCCATCTAGAGCAACACTATTGACTCATCTCAGATACCAAAGTCAAACCAAGCCAGTCTGTCCTTTAGCTTTCAGTTAAATACATGCAATCCTGTGGACTTGTGGGTTTGGCTTCATTCGAGCAATTATGCAGCAGAATTTAGCAATAATGGCTAAACTCTGTCTAGCACATGGTGGATTTCTCTGAAATGGACTCCACTGATTACAAATGCTGTTAATTGGGTACTGTAGAAGATGTACCTTCATTACAGGGATCTTTTTTCAAACAAACAGCGTGTTTTCAAGTAGCTACTATAGATAAGCTTTGGCATGTTCAATTCGGTCTCAACCAAACTGTCTAATGAGGGTGGTTAAGTACTGTCAGTTTGAAGCACACATTAAAATAACTGAAATACTGGAACTGCCTTACAGTAACTATAGTTTGTAGGGTTACACCAGTCTGCCATAAAAGTAGGTGTACCTGAGCCTAGCCTGTCTCTTCCCCAGAATTATTTGCACTCCAGCTGAAAGTATTGCTCACTCAATATCTGTCACTGTTTTCTCTCTGTGGTTGTACCAAGCTGCTGACAACATAATATTAATTGTTTTGTGCTCTGAAGTCTTGAGCACTTGCCTCATAAAACAGAAATAAGGGAATTTCCTTCTCTCTTGTCCAAACTCAAATTGCCTGTCACTTATAGGGAAACTTACAGGTTAAACTTACACCGGGAGTCTGATTGTAGGTTACAGGCATTAGAATTTTATTCTAAACTATCTTGCAAATCTTTGTTGTATACTTGTGACTAAGATAGCTGGACTTAAATGAGATTGAGAATATCTGTGCTATTGTGTTTGGTTTTTTTAATTTATGTTTTAGACAAAAAGAATGATGAAGTAACTCACTCCTGTATAGCTTTGCTGTTTCTTTATATATATAAAAAGTCAAAAGTTGAAGCATGAGCTGTTTTTTTGTTATGTTAATACTTTTTCTTAATTTACAATATAACATTTCTGGACACAAAACAGCTGTTTTCTGGACCTGGAAATCGATAACAGCATGTTTTCAAAACTACACAGATATTTTTTTAGATTATTGTAGTTTAGAATTGATATTAGATGTTTACATAATTCTATGGGTTAAAATTAAATTTAGGTTCTTTAGAATATGCCTTATCAATAGGTATGATATTTCACACAGCGGTGTATTAAGTTTTCTTTATTTACATGATTTTGGGTAAAAGTAGTGCACAGTCTTTAATCAACTGAAACTGATAGTATTTGTTAGCTTCAATCTGTTATGTTTTTCAGAGTAAAGAAGAAGTGATGGCAGTACGGCTCCGTGAGGCAGACCGCATTGCAGCTGTGGCTGAACTTCAACAGCATATTGCCGAATTAGAAATCCAGGTAACAAGTGATGGCATTAAATGTGTAACTTGATACTGATTACTTTTTGTACTTTGTGGTCTTTTTTTCTTCCTCCACTTTCTTTTCTTATTAACCTATTGTGAATACAAGGCACTGCTTTGCAAAGTGGGACAATGCTATATTGCTGAACATGCCTCCTTTATAAGCAAAGGCCTTAAATCTATCTTATGGGCATACTTCTTAGTTGTGAATAATTGCTTCTGTACAAGCACCAGGCTACAGGCAACACTCTCTTAAACCCTGACTTCTGTATTTGGTTTTTGTCTTGTAATTGGTAATTTTTACCAATTAATGATGAGATTGAAAACATCCTCTGTCCAAAAAAAATGCACACATTTTACTCCAGCGACCATTCTTTTCTGTGCTTGCTCTCCTGCTGTGGCCAGTATTGGAGGATTTGTTGTTAAACCCTTACTCCCTTTATGTAAATCTTGAAACCAGAAATGCTATTTACTGCTACCATGTCACTGTAGGATCTGAAGATGCATCCTTTGGCCTCTGTGTTGTTCCTTATGCTTTCAGTTGCTCTTGGAGCTTTCACTGTCCTGTGAACTCACTGCTTTCTTGATGAGAGAACCATAAATGACTGTTCTTTATATTTTGTTGGCTTTGAAAAATCATGATGTCTTAACTGTAGTCTGTCCTTCCTGTACTCATATGCTGTTGTCCTGTCTGAATTTTGCTGCGTCTATCTGCAAAGGTTTTCTTGGTTATTATTCCTAAGTTACAAGCTAGTTACTCTCTAGTTTACCTTTTTTTTTTAAAACTGGTATTGCTAGTGTCTGTCTTTCCTCTGAAATCTTTCCTTCAAGGTGATGATTTTACTGTATTGTGTCCAAGCCGCCTTTTCCCTATGATTCTCAACTACTTGCATCTTTTTCATCTTTTCATATATAGAATGCACAAATAAATTTAATGGAGCTTGCATAAAGAATTTTCACTTTGAATATTTTTCCTGTAGTGCAGCAGGCACTAAATCTATTAAAAGATAAAGCAATCATTTCTTTTAATCACATAATGCTTAGATAATGCTGTGATCAGTACGTTAGAAATACTTAGATAACTACAGTAAGCACTGCATATGAATCATTTATCATCTAGTAAGATAACAAGAGAATAGCTGAGTTTAGGTCAATCTTCTACTTGTGTGTTAGCGTTTTACTAAAAAAAAAAAGTTTAAAGGTGACTTCAAACAATGCGATTTTGTAGGTGAGGAGCCAGTACTCATTTTGCATTATTTTCACTTTAGCACAGACTTTAAATGCCATCCTGCTTCCATTGTTTGACTGATACAGGTCTCCCAAAAAGTATTCTAGTCTTGTTTTTATGAAGTGAAGAAATGGTGATCCCATAACGATCAGTTGTTTTTCTGATAGCTTTTTCTGTTGCCCAATTAGAATTGTGTTCATTTTTTAATGTAAATACATCTGACTTGGTCTTCTGTTGTTTGACTGATCAAATCATCAGTGCTCAGTCATTTTATAGCTCTCTCCTATTCCCTTTTCATATTTCTGCTTAAGCTATGGGTGCCAGAATTGCATGCTGATTTTTATAATAACCTGTCATGAGACAGGTAAGGAAGTTAAGTGCAGGAATGTAATCTATTTCATGACTCTGGCTAATACAGCCAAAGATTACACCGTCCCTGTTTTGTCATGATATTGCACTGTCTCATGATCGGTTGTTTATCCACATCATCTCTCCTTCCTTTTCACAATTACTACTTTGCATGATGCAATCTTTAGTTATGCTTTTCCGTTTTTCTCGTATTCTAGGTGGCCTTGGTTTTTGTTTCTTACTAAAGTGCGTTTCAGGTTCTAGTCTTTTTGGTGTTCTTAGATGATCACCTGTTCGTGATTTCTTGATCTGTAGTCTCTTAGTAAGATTCTTGATTTTCTGCACAAATGAGAATGCTTTCTTTGTATACGGTCTGGAGTATGAAGTCATTCTGTGGCTGGGGTTCATGTTTCTAATTTAATGAGTTTGCCCTGTTAGGCTTTTGGTGAACTGTTGATCTCAAACTTATACTAGCCTGAAATACAACTTCTTAAGTTGTGAAATACAGGGTTTGGGTGTTAACTGTATAAAGACATTTAAAATAACAGTGATTTAGTAGAAATAAGTTCCTCTAATGTCAATTTACTTATTTTTGACACCCTAGTTGTGACTTGAAATGCTTTTATTGGGCTGTAACAGATTTTTTTTTTTTTTGTAAGATTCTGTAAGCAAATAGATATTTTTGACCAGTTTATTTTGCCAGCAAATACGAAACTTATGATCAAAACTTCCTTTTTGGGTACTCATGCTCAAAGGCCTCCGAAACACCTGCACCAAAAAAAAGTAATAATGGAGTTGGAAAGCCTTAAGTCCCGAAGCTTGTAAACTATAAAACATGCAACTGATAACAGAGCTTAAACAAAAGCCGCTTTTTAAGGAAATTGAAAATCTAGATAACTTCTTCCTCATTGGAGAAAGAGCTGCCTCCCATTGTCTTCCATTCAGCTTGTCACTGAAATTGCTATGACCTGATGTGGGGAGCAGAGGGCCTTTTAATCTGGACTTGCCTTAATGACTTGAAATGCAATATTTAATACCATAAATACATTTAGCCAGTCTTAGAGCGTAGGTGTCAGTTTCAAAGTAATTGCGCTTTAACATGGAGCATCGCAAATAGGTCTGCTTGTCATATTGTTTCAAAGCTGATAAAGATGAAGGGAGGAAGTTAACTTACCACATAACCTTCCTTTTTTTTGAGGGGGATGGTGCTTTTCTAAGAAGCTCTAGGGATTCAGTGCCAGGTCCACATGGTCCATAGCAATGCTTAACCTAAATTGTGCAGTTTCCTTTTAAATGTTCATGTAGGTGTAAGTGCAAGACACTAGTGTTAAATCTGTAACGCAGAGTATCACTACTCCCACATAAGAACGGATCTGACGTTACACATACAAATGCTAGATTTAAATCACAGTTTCTGGGTCACTCTTAGTTTTGGTTGGTAATAATGATAGAGAGAGAGGAGGAGATAGAACTCTATCATTTAATAGTAGATGTAATTCTGCAGTAAGGTGTCGGTTTATTATGATGTTAGGAAGTTATTTTTTATATATTCTGAATGTCATCTTATCCTGGTCAGGCATTCGGTTCCCAATGCTAAGCTTTTAAATTTTTGTGTAAGCCTACCGAATTGCAAAGAATAGTCCAATACATGATGGATATTCTTAAACAAAAGAAATATATGAGTTGTTCCTTAGCAAAAATAACAAAAAACTGAAGTGTAAGTGAAGTTTAACTTATGTTGCGTATACCCAAGCCCCAGAAGTAACAAAGAAAAACACTGAAGTTATGTATAAACAAAGGTTTACTTTGTCAGCCTTTCTTTTCTCCTCTATCCTCTCCTTATTTTTCTCTCGCTTGCCAGTTCAGCTTATAAAACCTTTGGGAAGCAAACATGACTTGGAAGTATTTAGCAGGCTTCTGGGTTTTGAGCAGGACATTTGAGCAAATTGTTAACAAATGAAGGATGGATTTTGGATGGCTAGGCTGCTATTTTTTGTACCTCCACACTGGGGAGAAGCTGTTCTCTTCAACATGGTATGTTCTACTTTCTCACAAAGGTTAGAGGTTCACATCCTATAACCAAATGACTTGTTTGGGCCCAACTACATGCACTCTCTGACCCCTTTTGTCCCGTCCTTTTGTAAGATATAGAGAGCCAGGACTAAGGAATGGATATTGTCTCCCTTTATGTCTATAGTCAATCAGCAAAATGTCAGGTTTGTTTCCTCAGGGAATTAGTCTTTCTTGTTTTCAGCTGAACTGGTCTCATAGCTTCAAACTGCAACAAGCAAATGCTTTTAACTTCTTAATATAAGCCTTTAAAACCCTATAGCTTTTAGCTTGTGTGTGCTTTCCTAAAGCTGCCAAGAAAAGTCTACCAACCTTCACTACACTTCTGGCCTAATAGCAAGTGTTTCTTCTGGTCGCATATGGGCAATCCTGTTGGTCCCTTGATGTTGTGGGTTTTTTTTTTGTTCTTTTAAAAAAAAAAAGCTTTCCCTGCAACAGTTGAAGGAAGGACAGACTAAATAAGAGAAAAAGAGGCTTTAGAGAAATTCAGGCAAGGTTAAATCAGTTGCAAGCTAGAGTCAAACAGCTGGCTAGGGTGAGGAGCCCTAGGCCAGTGAAAGTGTAGACAGACTGAGGAAGCAGAACTGGGTCCGCTGGTGTCTCTGCTCTGCAGCTTAATCCCTCCCCCTCTATTTCTATTCAGGCTGGTGACTTGCAGCATTCTTTTAAAATTATCCATAGCTGGTTTGGGTTGGGGAGGTACAGAGCACGCTTGTAATATAGAAAAGTGGTTTTAGGTCTGAGTAATCTTAAAGCAAAAACTATCTATAAGAATTCATTCTGTCTTTGTTAGGTTGATCTGGACAGGGTATAACATCACTTCCTCCTGATGTGTTTCCTGGCAGATTCAGAGAATTTTGTCACATTTACCCTATCTAACCATGTCAAAGCTGCTTTGAGAACAACTGTAAAGGAAATCCATGATTGTGCTAGTTCTCTCCCCCACAGTTTAAACTTTTAGCACTATTTCGTTAGAATAAAGCCTTTCTATGACCTCTGTTTAATAACTTTTCCAAGTACTGACTGTTCAGTAAAGAAATTGTTTCCATCTTTTCAAATTACAGGAAACTTTTTTTACTCTTATCAATAGTGGTGTGTGATGTTAGTGATGTGTTTTTTGAAAGTCTAGAATGAGTCACTGTAAAGTCACTGAAAGGACACTAGTTACCACATTTACCCTTCTGAATAAACTTCATTTACATTTTTAATGCAGTGTCTTTTGCCACAGAGTAAGAATTTAAAAGCCTCCCCTGAAAAAAGGCTGAGACAGATTGTTACCAAGTAAATATTTCTAAGTCAGAAGAGATCAAACTAAGAGTGTTGGGGAAATGTCCTACCCTCTAGACATTTTT